GCTGAATTACGTTACCATTTAGACCCATTATTCAGCAAATTCCGCAAAAAATCACTAAAAATTCAACAAATTCAGCAATTCAACAGTAATTCAGCAAAAATTCAACAGTAATTACTATTTTAAGAAAATTCAGCAAATTCAGCAAATTCTACTGTTACCATTTAAGTTTGATATTATGCAGCAAATTCTACAAAAAATCAACAGTAATTCAACAAATTCAGCAAATTCAGCAAAAATTCTATGGTTACCATTTAGACCCATAGAGTTACGATCTACTAGTATATACATTATGGAAGAGACTGTTGACCGGTACAAAACCACACAGCCTATAGTTGACCTGCACTTGTACAAAATCACACATTAACTTTACCACCTACCTCCACAACTTAATTATCCCTCCTCTTCATTATTGCCACCAAATTCTTTAAGAATCAACTTTCTTATTAAAATTTAAATTTTATATGGCCAATATCTGGCGGTAAAAGACATTGACAGACTTTCAATTTACTGACTTTCAGTTTTTCTGTTTGGTATTTTTTTTTTATTGTTAAATGGTGAAGTTTTTTTTTTTCTCTCCTACTTTGATTACAATCTTGATCACGATGGCAAAAAGTTTGCAATTTACCGGTTGGATTTTAAGATCGATTTGTAGTATACACGTCGAATTGACATGCCGATTAATATCTTGAAAGGTTGGTTTATATGTTGTTACATTAAAATCATTACAAAATATATAAAAGGAAGAGAGAAAAACCTACTTTTTATAATTAATTATGCAAAATATAAACTATTAAGTAGCGATTATGTATAAATAAGACGAATTTCGTTGATTACATTTTGTTTTAAGCGGAAAATATAAAATTGTTGTCATGACGTTATTGTTAAATTATAAAAAAACTTCTCAAAAAGACCATGATGCCAAATATGTCAAGCTTCTCACTTATTGTGCCAAAACGAAAGGCCACCCATACACTACTCATTCAAATCCATCCCACCAACTCACATCTAGAAGCAATTACAAGTTCAA